CGCGGCGGTTGCCGGCAAGCGCTCAGATGTGTCTCCTTGCCTTGGCTTCCCCTCTGTTGCCTAACTCTCTGTCCTGTGATGGCATATTTGGTGTGATTCTCTGGCTTAGGACTGTTCACTGGAACTCTAAAACTGCTTTCTATGCGAGAGCTTGTTCAGAATCCAGCTTCTCCTCCGCCATCTTTCCGGAACTCCCTGGTACTTTTTTTTTTAATCACATAAAAGTTGAATTCAAGAGCTGCATGTAGCCAGGACATTTTGGGAGCTAACATGAGGATTTGTGATTTAGGTACTATAAAGCTTATGTGTCAAATATATTTTCCTAGTCTCCACTGAACTTTGATTTTTGCATTTATCTGAACTTGAATAATCGGAAGTATTCATGAAAATAATGACTCAAAATAAGATTTAAACATTAATGATTATATCCCAGTTTATTTTTATTCTTTATTCCTGCATAATTCTATTGCATTTTAAATTGTTTATTCCAAACCACACAGACATGATTCCAAATGAAAGACTATACCTACATATTTGAGTTGAAGCTGTAGCATTTCTTTAAATATTTTATAGGAATAAATGGTATAGAATATAAAAAACAAAAAGGCAATTTGCTATAAAACATCAAATTTCATATTGCTGTGCAGTTTAGCCTCTCAGAGAACTGGCTCTAAAACACAAGTGTGTGTGTGTGTGTGTGTGTGTGTGTGTGTGTATGTTTTAGTAGTTTATTCATTTCTTAAGAGAGCTTTATAACTCCTTATTTCTAAACCTGGACTAGCATATTAGAGAAAGTTCAGGAGGTCACTTTTTCTCAGGGTAGATATTTTCCCTTTGAGAAATAGAATTTTTATTTGGTGATTTTAGACGTGCAATAGAGAATTCAGTATGTAAAGCCATTTTTCTCAGGTTGTGTATATATGGATTAGAGTCTCCTTTATTGAATTAGTTATCAAAAATATTGCAGAGTAAGTTCAGGAAAAAAAATCTTGTTTTATCACTTATTCTTAGACACACAGAAGAGTTTGCAGTGCATAGTGGCAATGAACAGGAGATCTTTGAGAGTTCCTAGGAATTTGTCATTTGAGCAGAGATATAATGGCCAGCCATTTCAGGGTTTGGGTGCACCTTGAGCTGTGTATGGGCCTCTTCCTGTGCTAGGAAGAACAATAGGAATGCCTCTAAGAGGAACACTTACATGTTTATTTATTAATTTATCATACTTTTATTGAACATCTATATGTCAGGTATTGTACTCAGAGGATTTTAAGAGGAATAGAACATGTCCTGTACTTCTATAGAACTCAGAATTGAAATGGATTTTTTGGGGGGGGTTCCGGTCGTGGGCCCTGGGCCTGGGTGCTATCCCTCAGCTCTTCAGCTAAAGGCTAGCGCTCTACCACTTGATCCACAGCGCCACTTCCAGCTTTTTTTCTTTTTGCTGATGTGGTGTTGGGGAATCGAACTCAGGGCCTCAGGCTTGCAAGGCAAGCACTCTACCACTGAGCCACCTTCCCAGCCAGAAATGGATATTTTTGAATGCCATATTTTATAATAAGATTTACTTGGAAGAGCATTTACTAAAGTATTAAAAAGCAAAATCATTTGTTTTAAATTATGTAAATACAATCATAGTAAGATTTTAGGAGAGATTTTGGATTTTGTTTTGGTTCTTTTTTTTGTTTTGTTTTGTTTTTGTTGCCTTCTCTTTTCTTTTTCTGTTACCTTTGATATTCTGGTAATGATTATTTCTGTCTGCTCTAGAGAGTTTTCTTCTGTTCTTTTTCATGTGCATCTTGTAGTATATCCTGTCTTGCATTTTTCTTCTCTAGCAATGATGACACCTGGCTTGATGAGCCATATATTTTCTTTTTGTGAATCTCCTGCTGAATCTCTACTGGGAATTGAGTTTTTGTCCTGAATTTATAGACAGTATAATTTTTTCCTTTTTTTTTTGAAGCCATTTTAAAGTACCTTGTGCTGTTATCTCTTCTAGAATATTGGTTGGGCATTGGCAGAGTTAGTGCTCATTTCAGGTGAAGGAACTTGGTGTTCACGAGAGGATATGCGTGCACAAATACAAATAGTATTGCACATGGCGTAGACTTTGGAAAACAAAGAAGAGGTGCAGCATATACACATATTGATAAGTGTGACCCACCTATTACCTGTCAATGACAAATTGCCACTAACCGATAGAGGCTTGCACACACGATCTGTAGTAGACTCTCAGGGAGATTTTGATGACTTCATTTGGTATAGAATAGAAACATCTTGGGTTTATTTTTCTTATCTAAGATACATACATTGATTCTAATTCGTAACTAGGTTTGAACATGATTATTTAGATCTTTCTGGGAATCTAGTTTTAAACTTACCATCATGTTTTTAAACTTCCTTCTTCAGGATTTCAAAGAACAGTGGCTATTGCAGACTCAAATTACAATTGGTTTTATGGTCCAGAAAGCCAATTAGTGTTCTTGGATAAATTTGTCCTGCGTAATGGCAGTGGAAACTGGCTGGCTGACCAAATCAGGAGGAACCGTGTAGTGGAAGGCCCTGGAACACCCTCCAAAGGACAGCGCTGGTGCACTCTGCACACAGAGTTTCTCTGGTATGGCACATTGGGCTGGCATTCAAGGAAACGGTACAGGGTGCTATTCATATATTTTACATTTACAGAGAAAACTAGTCTAAAAATCTTTCTCCATGTCAATTGGGTATGTGTAGCATCAGTTCAAATCCCATCAGTGTCTTAAAACTCAATTAGAAGTGTTTCTTCACATTTAAGACCTGATCTTTATTCCCAGTTCTTTGAGATGTGTTAGGGCTGTGTTATATATGTTACTGATAAGCAGACCTTGGTTTTACATCATTTTTTTGAAATCACAGAAGGAGAAAAGACCTAGTTATTATGATAATTACACCAAAGGAAGCAGTCAATATTTGGTTTTGGTAAATGGTGCATTATAATCTTCTAATAGCAAAGCTGTTCCTAAACTTTCTAAAGTGTTTTAAAGTATTTTTACAGTATTTGACAGCTTCACTTTGATAATAAAAAGACGGTGTAATTATTTTGCCATAATCTTTTAAGCCCAGGAAAGGCTTGGGTCTCTCTTTTCAAGTATTGCCAAGTATATTGTTGGCATCCATTAAGTTAAAATCATAAGGATAGGGCATCAGTTTGTCATTAATCCTGATACCTTTTGGAGCTAGTGAAATTATCTTTCAAATCCAAAATAAGTCTTATATAGTTTACTTCTCTTTATTCTTTTCTTTCAGAGTTTAAGTAATAAAGGAGAAAAATAGTAAATTTGTGACAGTCTATAGTTAAACTAGCATTTTAAGCTACTTTTACATATGGCCTAAAAATTAATATGCAACGATTCCCTTTTATTCAGATTACCTATAACTAAAAACCCAAGAGAGTTCTTTAATGTGATTCTAGGAGTTAGATTAATGCTAAATCTAACTTGAATTAAAAAAAATCTGCCTTTACAGGAATATGCAAATCAACCAAAAACTCAGAGAAAGGTGACTATTTAGCTTGCTTCTGTATTGGTTAAATATATAAGCCAGTATTCTACACCTGAATAGAGGGTAAAATCAAATACCAATAAACACTGATGGTATGATAGGAGATTGATTCCATAGGCAAAAGTATGTATGAGTTAACAACATAAATCTCCTTCTCCTTCCTTGACCAGAAAATCACACGACTCTTGACTAGGCAGCTTTCCAAAATCATCAAAAATAATGAACACTTCATTATTATTTTTGGACCTTTTGTGAACATTTAATGTTAAGTATTATATTACTTCATAATAAACATTTATCATAAATAAAGGAAGGAGCATTGGTTTTTTAATTTGCATTATCTGCAAATTAAAACCAAAACCTTTGGCTGTGGACTCAGCCATGGTAACCACAATTTTACACTATCCATTATTAGTTTCCTGGAATTGTATCTATTTATAGTCTTAGATAGGTTATGGGCAATAAACTTAATATGTCAAATGCTACCCTATTCTAATTTATATTTTTTAGAGGGATAGTATTTGGAGGAGGAACTGATTGCAAACCAAACATCGAATAATTTCAGTTTCTGTAGAATAATTCAATATAACTTCTAGCCAGTTTTAAGAGCCCAGATCTTAACCCAAGGTTCCCTAGAAGTGCTGAAATTCTACTAAGCACAGTCATTTCCATGGTAACTCAAAACTGTCTAGTAAAGAAGGTCCATGGAGAGAGTAACAGCAGAAATCATCTCAGTCTGAAACCTAAGGACCAGAAGTTATAAAGATGTACCCTCTTCTGATTACCAGTAGTTTTCCCTTCTACATGTTCGTTATCAGTGTTTCCAGAAATTTCCCTAATACAGTCAAAGCTGCCAATGTTCTGGGAGCATTTGTGTGTTCTTCCTTCTGGCCACACTATCATGTGACATCATAGTTCTGGTGAGTTCTTTTTACTTTCACCTGAAAGCCATTAATTTTTTTTTCAATTAATCCCTTCAGGTATGATGCCAACTTGAAATCGGTTCCTCCTCCAGATTTTGGGACCCCTGTGTTGCATTACTTTGAAGACTGGGGTGTTGTGACTTATGGAAGTTCACTGCCTGCAGAAATCAATAGATCTTTCCTTTCCTTCAAGTCGGGAAAACTTGGGGGACGTGCAATATACGACATTGTCCACAGAAACAAATATAAAGATTGGATCAAAGGATGGAGAAATTTTAATGCGGGGCATGAGCATCCAGACCAAAACTCATTCACTTTTGCTCCCAATGGAGTGCCTTTTATTACTGAGGCCCTCTATGGGCCAAAGTACACCTTCTTAAACAATGTTCTGATGTTTTCCCCTGCTGTGTCCAAGAGCTGCTTTTCTCCCTGGGAGGGTCAGGTCACAGAAGACTGTTCATCCAAATGGTCAAAATACAAGCATGACCAGGCAGCTAGCTGTCAGGGGAGAGTGGTGGCAGCCGTGGAGAAAGATGGGGTGGTTTTTATCCGAGGAGAAGGTGTGGGAGCCTATAACCCTCAGCTGCACTTGAAGAACATTCAGAGAAATCTGATCCTCCTGCACCCACAACTTCTCCTCCTTGTGGACCAAATCCACCTGGGGGAGGAGAGTCCCCCGGAGACAGCAGCAAGTTTCTTCCACAATGTGGATGTGCCTTTTGAGGAGACAGCCGTGGATGGGGTCCACGGGGCGTTCATCAGACAACGTGATGGCCTCTATAAAATGTACTGGATGGACGATACTGGCTACAGTGAGAAAGCAACCTTTGCCTCCGTGACATACCCTCGGGGCTATCCCTACAATGGGACCAACTATGTGAATGTCACAATGCACCTCCGAAGTCCCATCACCAGGGCGGCTTACCTCTTCATAGGGCCATCTGTGGATGTTCAGAGCTTTAGTATCCACGGGGACTCTCAGCGACTGGACGTGTTCATAACCTCCAGTGAACATGCCTATGCGGTTTACCTGTGGACAGGGGAGACCACAGGACAGTCTGCCTTTGCCCAGGTCATTGCAGATCATCACAAAATTCTGTTTGACCAGAATTCAGCCATCAAGAGCACCACTGTCCCCGAGGTGAAGGACTACGCTGCTATCGTGGAACGGAACTTGCAGCATTTTAAGCCAGTGTTCCAGCTACTGGAGAAGCAGATCCTGTCTCGAGTCCGGAACACAGCTAGCTTTAGGAAGACTGCTGAGCGCCTCCTGAGGTTCTCGGATAAGAGACAGACGGAGGAGGCCATCGACAGGATCTTTGCCATATCGCAGCAACAGCAGCAGCAGCAGCAGCAACAAAGCAGATTAAAGAAAAACCGAAGGGCAGGCAAGCGCTATAAATTTGTGGATGCTGTCCCTGATATTTTTGCACAAATTGAAGTCAATGAAAAAAAAATCCGTCAGAAAGCTCAGATTTTGGCACAGAAAGAAGTACCCATAGATGAAGATGAAGAAATGAAAGACCTTTTAGATTTTGCAGATGTAACCTATGAAAAGCACAAAAGTGGAGGCTCCATGAACGGCCGTTTGGGGCAGGTACGGGTGGTGACAGCGACTCACAGCGGAGTGCCATCCCTGTCTGCATCCTATACCAGACTGTTCTTGATTCTGAACATTGTGATTTTCTTTGTCATGTTAGCAATGCAACTGACTTATTTCCAGAGGGCCCAGAGCCTCCATGGCCAGAGATGTCTCTATGCGGTTCTTCTCATAGACAGCTGTATTTTATTGTGGTTATACTCTTCCTGTTCCCAGTCACAGTGCTAGCACTGAAGCTATCCATGGTTTGATCATTTATGACCATATTGCAAAAATGTGTCATTCATTCGCCTCAATTTCTTACTGCCCTTGCCCCCGACTTTAAGAAACAAAGGGAAGGCATGATTTCTCAAGAAAGGAGGGATGTGGAGAAATCAGAATTGGAGCAGTGAAGAACTTACCAAAGGTATAATGGTAGCTTGGTTGTTCCCCAGTATTTCTGGAACTATTTGGCTTTGCTGATTTAGCAGTCAGTATAATATACTTGTAGAAGAAAGGAAAAAAAATATATGTTTGAAGTATTTTTTTTCTTAAGATACAAAAATTAGAACTGGGCTTATTATTAATTTAAACTTGTTAGTATTTTTCTTCTTACTTTTATAGAGGAAAAGAATGAAACACAATTCCAAGATATCTAGGCTTTTAAAATAGAAACATCAGATTTTTTTTACAAGAACTGGATGACTATTCAGATAGCATAATAGAAATGATGACAGATCATTAAAACTCAAAATATATTTCCAGTAGGAAACATTTAAAAAAATGAATATTTTCTTGATGAAGTTGATCTCTGAGAGCATGTAATTGGTTGATTTTATATATTCAGTGGCATTTTAGTAAATAAGACAAATGCAGGTAATTCAATATATTTTCCTTTTGTGGGAAACTTTATAGATCCAATGACTGTTTCAAAATAAAATATTTGCTATCCTAACTTCAGTACCAAAGAATATGAGAGCCTAAAATTTGGATATGATTCTTACATTTTTAATAGAAATCTTTCAAGTTTATTTTGCTAAATAAACATCATAATTGTGATTTTCTCTATTGTGTTCTTGGTTCTATTCATTCAAAATTACTCAAGTTAACATTCAAAAATCTTTGAAGATAGATCTTTATTTGGACACGGACTTATTAAGCTTATAATATATTGCTTCAGAAGAAATAATCCACTTATTTACCTTTTTGGTTTTTTAATTTTTATTCATTACTTGTTTACCTTTTTTGGTTTTTAAACACATTTTAAACATTTTAAGCAAAACCCATCTTCTCATTTATTTAAGTAACATCAATTTGTTTTTCAAGAACAAAGTTTCTATAGCTATTTGCAACTGAGTCCTCAGGAATAACAGCAGCACAGAATACTGGAAATTTTCCCATAGTTTGTACCTGAACATAAGAAAATAAGATACTTAAAAAAAGAATTTAAGGAATAAAGCGATATTACATTCAACATATTCCTCCCTTGAAAATAGGTAATGTGTCACTGAGTTATAGGTCCAAACTAGTCATTGTAATAACGTTTCCTCTTACTTGTTCTTTTTGTTCATGGAAATGCTAGGGGGCAACAAAAACAAGAACTCTGTGAAACGCCTTTGAGTGCCTCTTTTGAGTTCTAATTTTGAATCTTTTTACATAAATAAAAGACACGTTGGCTTTTAATAGTGCTTCACTCATTGTACTTGACTTCTGAGGAAGTATTTTTTGTCCCATGCAAAATCTCCAGGGAGGATGTCATTACACACTGGTTAGAAGAATAATGTTTTTAAAAGAATAATGCTTCCGTGTGCTTTGCATGGATGCTCTTACTGGGATTTAAACTTGCTTTATGGGACAGATTCTCTGCTTACTTAACCTCATTCAACATTTCTCTCTTTCTTATCCAAGAGACAAATTGTCTGAAGTGATCAAAAGAAAATTTTGGGAAAAAAGGGGGTTGAGGATTACTCTTTGAGGCTTCCAAGGAAACTTGATCTCAAATCCAAAATGCAAGCAAAATTTCTATGCCTGAGTTGATGAAAAGTCTAAGTGAGGGCCAAGTCTTGATTTTCTTTTGAGTGCATCAGATTAGGGCTAGACAATACATTTGTCATGGTAGTAGTATCTCATTTTTGTAGCCATTTAAGAAAATATGGTAGCCTTGTGTCTTTAAGACACAATGAGTTAAAAATTTTCCCCCTCCCCCTTCTAATGAACGTGGTGTTTTGTCTTCTCTTACCAGCATACTTCTTCAGGTAGTAATTTAAAGTGTCAACTTTAAAAAAAAATAATGCTGAAACAAATCACAGGTCTTCATATTAAGACATTTGGTATTGGGGATATTGAACATTTGAGCAGAACTAAGGAACTCTGTCTTGAAGAAAGCCAAGCAAAAGCTAAGTGCTGGTGGCTCACACCTGTAATCCTAGCTACTCAAGAAGTTGAGATCTGAGGATCAAGATTCAAAGACAAACAGGCGAGAAAGTCCAATAAACTAATAATTTTTTTAAAAAAGCCAGAAGTGGGGCTGTGGCTCAAGTGGTAGTGGAGCAAAAGAAGCTCAAGGACAGCACCCAGGCCTTGGGTTCAAGCCCCAAGATCAGCAAAAAAGGAAGTTAGGCAGGCAGGCAAGCAATCTTAAATCTTCCTTGAAACGGATAGGTTATGGGCTCTATTTCAATGTTGCTCACTTGAAGTGTTGCAGTTCTTTGGCTAATATATAGCCTTTTGTATAAGGGATCAACAGGACTTTGGGTCCGAGCCTTAAAGAAAAAAATGAGCATTACTAACAGAGAGAGCTTGTTTATGAAGTAGAAATTGTGTATTCCCTTCTTGGTAACTGGTGAGCATATAATCAACTATAATGATGGATGAGACAGCATAAAGAAATAGAAGTAGGAAGATGCAAGTTTCCAATCAGGAATTCATTCCGCTTGGCGTTGTTGGTCCACGGGGCCTGCAATGGAACAACGTCTGGAGAGGGCTTACTTCAAGCCCAAGTCACAGGCCACGCAATGTATATTTTGTGGGAGTGTTGACCAGACAGGATGAATCAAGGATTGCTAACAGTGTGTATGTCTCTGAGTGCTCAGAGCCACAGCTCTGGCCCAGTCACCTCAGCTATCCATTACTAAACCCAGGCAAATATCCAAATCTAGTCACTTTTACTTCTAGATTGCATGATTCCAGAAAATTGAGTCTGGTTTGACTGGAGTGTAGTGGTGGGTGATAGAGTAGGTTTGTGTGGTGGGGGAGTAGTTTTTCCCCCTGCCTTCATTTAATTTTAAGTCTATAAGCATTTTGATTAATGCAGTCAGATGGACTACCTTCTAGACCAGAAAAGTAAAGATGCTGTCCCTTCTATGTGTCTGGAGGAACTAGTTACTAAGGACTTTTGTTATGGGACACTTGTGTCAGTGCAGAGTCCCCATGGAAACAGTAGTCATTTGGAATGGGCTCCTGAGGTAGAATTTCTTTAGACAAGAGCTTCTAAAAACATTCCTGTCAGCCCAGCATATTCCAAATTCAACCATGAGAACTGATTTTAATACATACTTGGGAATTATTTTCCGTACAACAAGAAAAGCTGTAATGGTTTGGGACATGTTTTGAGTGTGTGAAGGGAATATTGTGAGTTGTTCACACTTTCTACCTTTGGTTTTTGTTGTTTATACATTTTTTATTTTGGTCCAAAACCAGAGGACTCGAACTTTCGGAGGCCCTTCACATTCCTGTGCAGATAATCTTGACTTCTTAACTCCTTCATGCCATTGTCTAAGAAGGAGTCCATGACATTTGTAAGGGTTCCCATGTCAATTGTAAGTATTAAGACTTTTTAGACCACTGTATCTACTTAAAGCTGTTTGTAATACAAAAACATAGAAAAGGGAACTACAAATTATCTTGAAAGACAGGACCTAGAAGAGTAACAGTGAGCTTGCATAGACAGAATGTTTGTGTCTCTATTTTCCCAATCCCTATGATGAAACCTAATCCTCATTGAAATGGTGTCAGGGACAGGAGCTTGTGAGAGGGACAACAGGATAGTGGGGCCATCATCATGTTATATGAACCCCCCGCCCCCCCGCAGAAGTCTCTTGTCTCATCTATCATATGAGGTCACCATGCAAGGACAGCCACCTGTGAATCAGGCCTCTGGGCTAATATGCCGGCTCCCCCCCCCCCCCCCCCCCCCCCCCCCCCCCCCCACCCAGTTGTTAATAGATTCTTGATCTCTATCCTAGTCTCTAGAGCTGAAAGAAGACTGTAAGGGGCTGGGAAGTTGGCTCAGTGGTAGAGCGCTTGCCTCGCATGCCTGAGGCCCTGGGTTCGATTCCCGAGCACCACATAAGCAAAAAGAAAAAAGCCGGAAGTGGCACTGTGACTCAAGTGGTAGAATGCTAGCCTTGAGCTAAAAGAGCTGAGGGACTGTACCCAGGCCCAGAGTTCAGGTCCCACGACTGGACCCCCCCAAAAAAAAAGAAGACTGTAAGAAATAACTTTCTTACAGAACTGTAAGAAGTAAATTTCTATTGTTTGTAAGACAGTCTCAAGAGTATTCCTCAATGGAGGAAGAAGTCTAGCTTATATCATGAACTAAGTTCATTAACTGCTCATGTAGCAGTGAATCTTGGCCATGGGAGATGCTCCAAATAGATCCTGGAGTCTTCAACATTCTCATTAGTAGAAACTCTAAAATTCTATCTCTGAAAGAGTGCATGGAAGACGCCTTAACCAGGTTCAGAAGCAGCTGCTAGAAGGCTGTTCTACTTGGGGTAGTCCTGCATAGGACCGAGAGAGCCCAGATGCCGAAGCACAACTTAAAATAGCCTCCCATCTCTATGGGTAAACCTCCAGTAAGCCAGGGGCCATTGTGAAGCATTAGCAACTGCCTGGGAAAGTTTACACATTGTGCAATAGCCCAGCCACGTCAACTCACCTGACTTCCTAGAGAACACAGTACAATGCAGTGTGGGTGTGGGGGCCATGGGTGGGCAGTGTAGTAGGAGCATTGGTTATTCAGCTGGCAGCTCAGCCACACCTGTACATGGAGGATCACGCCATGGTACCTTGGAGCACTTCTTGCAAAAGACTGGCAAACAGAGCACATCACATAAATATGCCTGTTTTCCCTACTGATAAGAGTTTGTGTGTCATCCAATGGGGAGACTTATAGATGATGAAGAGATCTCTGAACTCATTATTGAGAAGTCATTTTTTTAAATGGATCCCAGAAGTAGGGAATGAAAGCATACTTGATAATCCTGTAAAGTAAATATTGCCTTTTAAATTGTATATAAAGAGTATATGTGCTAGGCATATTTTTTTCCTTTTGTCGATTATGAAGCTTGAACTCTGGGCCTGAGCACTGTCCCCAAGCTCTTCAGCTTAAGGCAAGCAGTCTACCACTTGAATCACTATACCACTTCCAGTTTTCTGGTGGTTAATTGGAGATAAGAGTCTCTCAGACTTTCCTGTCTGGGCTGGCTTTGAACCATGATCCTCAGATCTCAGCCTCCTAAGTAGCTAGGATTATAGGCATGAGCCACCAGCGCCTGACTGCTAAGCATATTTTTAATAGACTGATGTGATTAAAAAAAGAAAAAAAGTCTTGCCTGGTTTAATACAATAGTTCTATTATTCTATTAACACATACTAGAACAAGGCACCAATGGTGCACCCCTGTAATACTCTCAGGAAACTGAGATCTGAGGATCATGACTTAAAGTCAGCCAGAGACTCTTATCTCCAATTAACTACTCTACCCTATGCCCTCCCCCCCAAAAAAACAGAAAAAATGATGCCAGAAGTAGAGCTGTGGTTCAAGTGGTAGAGAGTTATCCTTATGTAAAAAAGTTCAAGGACAGTGTCCAGGCCCTGAGTTGGAGTCCCAGTACTGGTACACACACATACAAAAAAAATTCCATATTGGACTACAAAGATAGTAGTAGCCTTTCTGAAGCAGAGCTGAGTTCAAAGAACATGATAGGGATCAGCACACCCTAAGGAAGATACTTTATATCTTTTTCTTTTTTGCAGGTCCTGGGGCTTGAACTCAGGGCATGGGCGCTGTCCCCAAGCCTCTTTGTGCTCAATGCTAGCACTCTACCAACTGAGCCACAGCATCACTTATAGCTGTTTCTGATAGATTATTGTAGATAAGAGTCTCACAGACATTTTTTGCCCGGGCTGGCCTCAAACTGTGATCCTCAGATCTCAGCCTCCTGAGTAGCTAGGATTGCTGCCCAATTCCTTGTCTTCCAATAGGAAGCTGGTAACAGAGAGAGCTAAGAAATATGACTAGTGATATTCATCTAGAAATTATTATGGATTGTATTATAAAGTTCAAGATAGAATACTTTTCTAATACTCAAATTTTATTTATTTATTTATTTGGGTCCTGTTGTGGGGCCTGAACTCTGGTCCTGGGCGCTGTCCCTCAGCTCTTCAGCTCAAGGCTAGCACTCTACCACTTGAGCCACAGCGCCACTTCCAGCTTTATTTTTCTGCTTATGTGGTGCTGAGGAATCGAACCCAGGGCCTCAAGCATGCAAGGCAAGTGCTCTACCACTGACCCATCTTCCCAGCCCTAATACTCAAAATTTTCATTATTTGGAGTTTCCTAATGCCAAATTTTGGTTGTTTAAAATACTGAGTCATCAACATTAACTATTAAATTTCTACTATGTTTTTTTTAATCTTGTAAAACTTAAAAAGAATTTTTTTGTCAAGGTGCAATATCTTTACTAAAGGTACACTAAAGGAAATCTCACATAAATTACTGAAACTTGGCCAGGTTTGGTGGTGCATGCTTGTAATGCCAGTTAGTTAGGTGGTAAAGGTAGAAAGATCATGGTCCAAGGCCAGGCCCAGCATTAAAAAAAAATGGATCTTCTATCTGGAGAATAAAACAAAAGGCACTGGAGTGAGTCATGGCTCCAATGGTAGAGTAAATGTTTTAGTAGTGAGTTCAAACCCTAGTACTGAAGTATACTCAACCCTCTCCCCACAAATGGAGTCACCACACTATTTAGTGTTGAACTGTGCAACCCAACCTACAGAGAGCACAAAGTGAAAAGTGTCTTAAGAAAGCAGACTTCTGCTCCTTGTTTCTTTTTTTTTTTCTGTTCCTTGATTCTAATCCTATCTTGCACTCAAACTGAGAGGCACAATGACCTTCATAAACACAAAGACAAATGATCTCCGAATCTCTTTGTCTTCATTGCTTAGTAGTGTTTGCTTTTATTCTCCCAACTTTGCCTGTCTGTAAGTCATAAACGTTTGTGCATTTTCAAGGGATTGAAATGAGTGAAAAAAATGTTGAACTGCAGTGTTTTTAATTGGCTAATACTACTTTATATGAAATAAACGTACTCTAGCACCCTCTCCTTTAATGAGACAGGATTTGACTGGATTATCAACAAAAGGCATCTGGAGACATAAAAGACGCTAAAAACGATCTCATAATACATTGTTCAGAGAACTAATCATTTGTCATTCACATGCCTGCTTTAAACTACATTTATATGGGAGAGAAAGAGGAAACAGCTAAGTTTCTGTCTCGTCAGATTTGACAAATTCTACCTCATTATGGTGACCATGGAAAACTTGTTTTGAAGTTGCCACTTCTGAATATGTGACTTAATTTTCCTTACCAGTTTTGGGACTGGATAAAAAAAATGTCATTTTTCTGTGGACAAGTTACTTGTGAGAAGTCCAATAGATGATTACCCTCAACATAGTTGTGGACATTCATATGAAAATAAAGAGCTGTATCCCTCCACTTCTTCCTAAAATATTCTACCTTCTTTGACTTTTGATTGAGTTTTTTCTACTTCTTTATCAAGTGTTTTTGTTTTGTCTTGTTTGATGTTGTTTGTTTTTGTTTTTCATACCTGGATGGGTTTTAAGTCAGGGCTTAGCACTTGATAAACAGACACTCTAGTACCTCAGCCACAATCCACCCCAGAGGTTCTTTTTAAAATTTTTTCCAATGTTGTGTCTGGTTCTTTTTCCTTGCCTTCTCTCTTTCTCCTCTTCTTTCTCTCCTCTCCCACACTGTCTTTCAGAAACTAGATCCTTATTTCAAAAAGAGACTTGTTGATATTCCATATCAGAACAGTTACACCATTGCTTTCTCTTTTTCTTCACAGGCTCCAAGAGATTACCCCAGAGGTGAGCACATTTTAATCCAATAAGCACCAGCAGAAGGTAACCTAAGAGACCTCCCAGCACCTATAGTGAGGAAAAAAAAAAACTTGGAAAGATCGGTACATTACCAGCCCACAGGCTGTAAGAACTCTCACAGCCAGATGGAGTGGCCAGGGCTCTCCAACTCCAAAGAAGCAAAGTCTCAAAATCAAGTTTTTTCGGCTCCCTCTAGCACATGTTTAAGACACCAATTAAAGAAGAATAAAAAAACTCTTAAATTCTTATTTATTTTTTTCTCAGTCACGGAACTTGAACTCAAGACCTGGGCACTGTCTCTGAGCTCTTTTGCTCAAGGCTAGTGCTCTACCACTTTGAGCCACAGTGCCACTTCTGGTTTTCTGGAGGTTAATTGATGATGGGGTGGCTTTGAACTACACTCTTCAGATCTCAGCTTCCTCAGTAGCTAGGATTACAGGTGTAGGCCATCGGCGCCTGGCTGGTTTTTAAAATTTATCTGTGCAACTAAAATGTTCTTAATACTGTTCTGGACTCTTTATATGATCTTTCATTTCTTATCAAGATTGTATGGCACAGGTTGAGACGCTGCTGTCAGTAGGTAAAGGAAATAACACAATGTAGTGAGGGCTACTTCAGGCGTAGAGGAACGCTGTGGACAGCCAACCAACTGCCGAGGGATACCATGATGAGCGGGAAGAGCTCCTGCGACCCTGGAGCTCCAGGGACGTAACAGAGGCAGAGCTCTGGGAAGAAAGGTTGCAAGAAGTCCACGAAGAACTGTTTCTAAATAGTGAGAGAGCAAAGAAACAATGCTCTCTCCGATTGTGAGTCTGGAAGATGACGTCAATGAAGAGATGACATGGGACTGAGAACTAAAAGCAGAGGCCAGATGCCTATGGCTCACACCTGGAATCCTAGCTATTCAGGAGGCTGAGATCTGAGGATTGTGGTTCAAAGCCAGCCCAGGCAGGAAAGTCTGTGAGACTCTAATCTCCAAGTAACCTCCAGAAAACCGGAAGTGGTACTGTGGCTCAAAGTGATTGAACATGGCCTTGAACACAAAGAGGCTCAGGGACAGCACCCAGGCCCTGACTTCAAGCACCAGGACTAGCCAAAAAAAAAAAAAAAAGCAGAGTGTTTGCTACATGAAGAGAATGTTGCTCAAGCAACAAGAAAGGCAAGCAAGAGGGTATGGTGTTGAAAAATGTAAGAGTGGGGGGTCACTGGTGCAGAAAGTGGGGTGCATGGGCTGAAATAGGACACAGATGTTTGGAGAAAGTCTGGGGAAAGTTTTCATGCCAATGGAGGCTCATGGCTTGTCGCCTTAACCACAGAGAATACAAGAGTTTCAACTGGAAAATATTGTAGTGGATTATTTACTTTTTTCCTTACTGGTTTAACTGAGAAATATGAACCACAGTCAGGAAAAATACTCAAATATGGTGTGTAAAATATTGTAAAGCAGACACCTCTGTAATTCTGGAACACGTATAGAAATACATGTAGACACCTCTGTAATTCTGGAACATGTATAAAAATATATACAGCTGGGTTCCGTGGCTCATGCCTGTAATCCTAGCTACCCAGGAGGCTGAGATCTGAGGATCACAGTTCAAAGCCAGCCTGGGAAGGAAAGTCTGTGAGACTCTTATCTCCAATAAACCACCAGAATACTGGAAGTGGCACTGTGGCTTAAGTGCTAGATGCTCGCCTTGAGCTGAAGAGCTGAGGGACAGTGCCCAGGCCCAGAGTTCAAACCCCACAACTGACAAAAAAAGAAAAAAGAAGAAATATATAGACATTTCCATAATTCTGAAATGTGTATACACTTATATGCAGACACCTCTGTTTTTCTGGAGCATGTATAGAAATACAGACACTTCTGCAATTACGGAACATGTATAGCAATATACACCTCCAATGCCCTGCCTTGCCCCCAGCCCCAAGCACACTCTCCCCTGAGGCCCAAACATGATAACCACTCTCTTGATTCTTAACCAATACCTGTGTTTTTCTACTTATGTATACCCCTGCAAAAAATAGAATTCAGTTTGGACTACTTCTGAACTCTTTATAAATGAACTTGTGCTATATCTTGTGTTTGCTTTCACTATTTAACATTGCACTTAAATATTAATCCTTGCTTTTTTTTTTTTTTGGTGTCAGTTCTGGGGCTTGAACTTGGGACCTGGATGCTGTCCCTGAGTTATTTTGCTCAAGGCTAGCACTCTACCACTCAAACCACAGATCCACTAATGGCATTTTTAGGGTAGTTAATTGGAGATAGCGTCTCATGGACTTTCCTGCCTGAGCCGACCTCAGACTGCAATCCCCAGATCTCAGCCTCCTAAATTGCTAGGATGAGCCACTGGTGCCCGGCCCCGTTCTTTGATTTCTTTACAAGACCTGTCAAATTGATTTTTAGTAGTTTTTAAACCAGCTGTTTTTGAAAAACACAGCTATGAGTCTTCATACTCTGAGTGCTATGTATACATACATATATATCCCTAAAGGACAATCATCCATGGTTTTTTAAAGACTAATTCCTAGCAGTTCTTCAATAGAGAGACACAGCTGAGCTGAGCCAAAGAGTAAGAGGTTTCCTGATCTACCCATGCCTGAAGCTCTACCATCCCCCATAGTGGCTTAGGTACCTTTGCTGAAGGTGGGTGTGAACAGGTGTCCAGGTGGCTCTTCAGCTGTACCTGGAAGCGTCCCCAGGGCTCTGAGCTCTCCCAGGTGTTGTCCTGTCCCTCTGAATAAACTGTTTGTCACGAGGCTGACAACTCAGATGCCTTCTGTCTGAGCTATGTGGCCTGCTCAGACAGGCCTGTGTTCAGAAAAACATAAGGCCAGAGCTGAATAAAACAGGCATAATTCTGACTACAGTGGGAAAAGAGAAAAACCCAAGTCTGCTTTTCATTCATTCAGTGGCTCACTTACTATTACCACAAATATTTGTTGAACATCCATACTATTCTAGGCACTACGATTTGGTAACCTGTGGGACCAGAAAGGGATCAGTACTGATCTTTGATTTCAATAATTTATAATCTACTTGAAGAGATAAAGAAAAACAGTAAAGCAGCAAATGCAAAATTATGAACCTGCCACCTGTAACAGAAGTTAAAAAACCACATAAGTGAGGGGAAGTGGTGAGGCACTGTCAAGAGAGGCTGGTCATGGAGATGTGGCTGAGACTCCTGCTTAGCCATGTCCAGTTTTCTTCGCCATCTAGGCACAAAAGAGGGTCGGGCGTCCCTTGCTTTTTCCTTGTAGTTAGCTGGAACTTTGTGGCTACTTCTGTCTAGATATTGGTATTGCAAGCAGGATCCTTCCATCATAAAATCCCTAACATAGGTGATATGAATTTGGCAACCAGTGATAGACGGTATAGAAAGTGGTCATGGAGGGATAGCTATATGTGATGTTTGCTCAGAGCAACTTCTGCATCAAATTGGAAAGAAATTTAGGGAATTAAGGAAAATGTGATTCTGGGGAGAAAATGAGGCTCCTAGGATTTGTTAGCAACTACTGCAATGTTTTGGCAAGGCTTTCCCCCCCCCAACCCCACTTTGGCCCATCATGGGACTTGAACTCAGAGCCTGGGAAGTGTCCTTGAGCTTTTTTTTTTTTTTTTTTTTGGTGCAAGCCAAGCACTCCACCACTTAAGCCCACAGCACCACTTTCAGTTTTTTGATGGTTCATTGGAGATAAGAGTCTCATGGCTTTCCTACCCCAGGTGGCTTCCAACCGTGACCCTCATATCTCAGCCTCCTGAGTAGCTAGAGTTACAGATGGGAACCAAGGGCACTCAGCTTGACAAGGCTTCATAAGCTCAAAAAGAATTGGTCCACTTGAGCCATACCTCCACCCCCATTTTTTGTTGGCCATCCTTTGGAGATGGAGTGTCATGTACTCTTCCGCCAAAGTTAGCTTTGAACCACAATTCTTGGATGCTGAGCCTCACCTAAGATTACTGATATGGGGAGGATTGGGGGTGGGTGGGGGGAGGATGGGAAGGGATGGGAAGGGGATAAGAAATGTACTCATTATCTTGCCCATGTAATTGTAACCCCTCTGTACAGTATTTTCACAATAAAAAAATACAAAAAAGATTACTGATATGTCAGCATGTGATAAATCATAAAAAACAAAACATTATATTTTTTAAAAGATTGCAGGTATGAACCACTCTCGAACATTTTTTGATCAACTTGGTGGTCACAGAGTAATAATCTGACATTCTTATAGATCCTGGGAGTATTGGAACATACCTGTTCAAAACAATAAAAAGAGTGTTGCATTGATGAGTCGATGAGTACAATATGCTACTCAGTCGAATGGCTTGTGGCTATCAAGCCGAAGAAAGACCAATGAACTGAGCTGTCCAGGAAAGACCCAGTAGCAGAACCTGACTCTCTTCTTGGCTAGGTTGTGGTTTAGCTTTGTAAAAGAAAAACTAAATTGTGTCTTCCACTGTTTCCTGTAAATGACCAGCATTTTTGTAAATGACCACCATTTTTGTAAATGGAGGTTGGCCCATTAATTAGGGTTGGCCGCAATGTGTACTTTTCCCAGTTTGCTCAAGTGGCAATTGAGCTTGGGGGAGGAAGGGCAGGAAGAGTAGCCGCGCTGTCAACTTGGAGGAAGAGGAAGTGACAACAAAATAAGTGGGGTTTTGTGGTGGTGGTGATGGTGGTTGGTGGGTTGGTTGTTTTCTGGCAGAGTTCCTTGCTTAACTGGGGGGAGAGAGGTCTTCAGGGCCTTGGCCTTTGGAAATGGGTGGGTGCTGGGGGTGTCTGCTGATTTAGTTAAAATGGGAAATCGAAAGCTCTGAGGGCCCCCAGAAGGCCTCCTCTTCCCTTTTCAAAAGCTACTTGAGAGCAAACTGGAAAGTCCCAACCCCAAAGGCCCCCCAAGCCCTCTGACAAGAAGGGCAGCGAAGAGGCAAGAACTTCGGGGCCTTTTCCAGGTAATCGACCCCATGGAGATGTTGAAGGCAGTGCTGGACCTGTACCTGAAGCACGACAGCGCACTGACCTATGGCCTGGTGACCCTGCTCACGGCGGGTGGGGAGAAAATCTTCTCGGCGGTGGTGTTCCAGTGCCCGTGCAACGCCACGTGGAACCTTCCCTAGGGCCTGGTGTTCCTGCTGATGCCCGCGCTGGCGTTCTTCCTGCTGGGCTACATGCTGAGCGCGCGCACCTGGCG